ATTCTAGGTCCCCTTTTTTAAATTGTATTATAATATATAATATAATATAAATGGTAAGCATAAAAAAAAAAAACAAAAATTGGCATAATAATGAAGATGATGTATTGGGATTTGGCAGATACAGTACCAGACTTATTGATGTTGAATTGGTTAATGCTTGAGGAATCGCAGGGCATGTTTGACATTATCGGTATATATATATTTTTTTTTTTTATATAATTTGAATAGGACAATGAATCAGAATAAAAATTTACTATTGTGAGATAGAATATATTTCTTTACTTCGGTTTTAAATATATGTTCTTTAGCGATTTGTTTTATATTTATAGGTAGGAGGTTATAATATTTTGGGCCAAAATAAAAAAATTATTTTTGGGTAACTGATTTTTTAAAAAGGTTAACGGCTAGATCCATATTGGCAGTAGAGCGAGTAACTCGAGAGTTTTTATATTGAAACTTTTTAGTACTGTTGTAAATTTTTATAATACATTGATATATAAATAGCGATTTGATGTTAAAAATTTGTGTTTCATCATAAAGTTTTTTAGTTCGAAAAAGTTTAGGCTTATTAAAGATAATTTTTAGGATAGTATTTTGAGCTGTTTGTAATATATTAAGTGTAGAATTAAAAGCACCGCCCCATGCGATAATACAGTATCTTAGAATGGATTCCACAAATGAGTTGTATATTTATTATGCATTAGAGCTCTTATTCTTTTACTTAGGTGTATGATGTGATCAGACCAGCGCAAGTATTGGTCTACTATAACTCCTAAGTATTTTATTGCTTCTACTTTATCTAAAGGGGGGCACTTACAGTTTGGTTCACAAACTTGTGAATGTAATTTTAATGTAAAATTAGGTGGTTGGTTTACTAGAGTTGGACTAAAAGCAATAAATTTTGTTTTTTTAATATTTAGAGTTAGAAGGTTGGTGTTTAGCCACATGTTTACCTTTTTTAAGTCAGCTTCTGCGTTATGTTGAATTTCATCCCATTTTTCGCCTTTAAAAACTAATGCAGTGTCATCAGCATAGCATACTAGATGACCAGAGAAACCATTTATTTTAGTTATGCTATTGATGTAGACCAGAAACAGTATTGGACCTAATACTGTTCCCTGTGGTACACCAATTTTTAAGATAGTACCAGAACTCATTTCTTTACCAATTTTGACTTGCTGACTTCTATTTGACAGATAATCCGAATTAAGTTCAAGAGCCAATCCCCTAACACCGTAGTTACTTAGTTTGCTTAGAAGGATTTCGTAAGAGACAGTGTCAAACGCCTTGGCCAAATCCAGGAAAACTGCTATGCATCCATGGAGTTGTCCAAAGCGGACACAGTTTCCTCTAAGAAGTCCAATATCGCGTTTTCGGTGTTAGATTTTTTTTATAAAACCATATTGAGAATGAGTTATGATATTATGCGATTCAAAGAAATTAATTAATCTTTCTTTAAGAGCACTTTCAAAAATCTTCGCAAAATTGTTAATGAGAGATATTGGCCTATAATTTACTGGCTTACTAGAGTCCTCCGATTTGAAAATGGGGATGACAACTGACTCTTTCCATTGATGAGGAATTTTCCCGCTTTGCAATGCTAGGTTTATAATGTGTGCTAATGGGGAGACGATATATTGATGAATATTTTTAATAATTTTTGAATCTATATTGTCTGGACCCGGGGCACAGTTATTTTTCAGTTTTGATATCATTTGTATTACCTCGTTTTCAGTAACTGGTTTTAAAAATATACTAGAGTTTATTTTTTCATTTTTGAGAAAATGCGGAGGGAGGTTTACTTGAGGTATTTTGTTTGCCATATTTACACCTAATGAAGCAAAGAAACTATTAAATATACTAGCCTTTTCCTTATTATTAGTTATTAGCTCATTATTATTGTTAAAAATTGGTATATTTTCTATGTGTTCAGATTTTTTTGTTGGTCCAGTTGGTCCAAAGAAACTATTAAATATACTAGCCTTTTCCTTATTATTAGTTATTAGCTCATTATTATTGTTAAAAATTGGTATATTTTCTATGTGTTTAGATTTTTTTGTTGGTTTAGTGATATCATTAATAATCTGCCAATTTTTTTTGTAGTTCGTCCCTGCTTGAAGCAGCTTTTTTTGATAAAAACTGTTTTTCGTTGTCCTGATTAACTTATTAAGTTTATTTCTGTAACTCTTATATTGGTTTTCAAGTTCGGTGGAGTGGTTTTTTGTCAGATTTTTTTTCAGATTATCTCTGTTTGATAGAGGTAATTAGACCCTTTGTAATCCATGGCATAATCTTTTGATATTTTTTGTTTATTGTTTTTATTTCCTGGGAAGCTAGTATGTAGTTATTTAATTTGTTTATGAAAATGTCATACGCTATTTGTGCTCCTGAAATATTATTATTTACCTCATTCCACTTTTCTGTGCTTAGTTTTTCTATTAATTTTTCATAATTCATTTTGATAACAGTATTTGCATATGGTCTGTGAATTTCATCTGTTTCTGAACAATTGCCCTTAAATATTTCAATTTTTCTACTAACTAAATAGAATTTCTTCCAATTTCCTATATTGTTTGTCCACAAATTGCATATAGTTATTACTAATCAGTAGAGGGCGGAATATATGCATCAAAATATAACAAAATATGCGCATATATATGCATCGTTTTTACCAAAAATATGCAGTTATTTTGTCCAATTATGCCTAAATATGCAAATGCATATTTGTTAAAAATACTTAAAAAAAAGTAGGGGGTGGATAGCTCAGTGGTTAGTGCGTTGGCCTGTGGACTTAGGGGTCCCGGGTTCAAATTCCAGCCGGGACGCGATTTTTTAAATTAATTAATTTATTTAAAAATTAATTCTGATGCCTAGCGAATATTTCCACTTGACCATTCACTGTTAGGTTCTAATTAACATTGCTGTTCCTAATTTGGTACGCTATCAAAGCCATTACACGAAAAAAAAAAACAAAAGAAAATATGTTATATAAAAATTTATTTAAAAAAAACGAAACACAAAAACTAGTAGAAGTTAAGTATAGAATAGTATAAAAATATTAAATAGTAATATAATAGGAATTTATAATTAAATATTTTTCGAAATTTTCTATTAAAAATTTTTGTCTTCTGTCTGTAAAAATATGTTTTGATATAGAAAAGGTCCTTTCAACATCTACCGAAGTAATAGGACAATACCGTAATTTTGGAAGTAATGTACAGTAATGTACAACGTAAAACTTCTTTGGAAAATTTTCCCTCAAAAATGTTTTTCACTTCCCTTATTTCATTGAACCCTTCATTCTTTAATAAAGTTGTATTTAATTTTTTTCTAATCTTAAGGCTTATGTCACCAGGAACATTGTTACATTTATCGGAAACTGTTGCAATAAAATTTGTTGATTCGATTAAACTTAAATTTTTCTTTTCCAATGAAGTTATTACATCAGGTAAAAAACTAAAATTAACCTTTATAAACACAAGTTGCTTAGGCACAAGGGGATTTTTTAACAATTCTTTACTTTGCACTACACATTGTGAATTGTCTTCTATATCCAAAATTAAATCCTTAATTGCTTCAAAATTTTCTGCATAGAATATAGCTGCTTTAATCCATGTCCCCCATCGCGTAATTAGGGGTTCCTGGGGCAAACACACCCCTACCATTCTCTCTTTATACAACTGCACTCTTGAAGGGGCTTTTAAAAATATTTTTTTCACATTCGAAATTAGCTTGTTAACCAAGGGATAGTCTGTTCTCACAGTTTCTGCAACTAAGTTTATTCCATGCAGAAGACAAGTAACGTGGACCATATTTGGATAAAATATTTTTAAGTTTTGCCCTACTTTTATCATATATGGTGCTGCGTCAGACAAAAATACTAAGAACTTCTCTGAGGGAATTTGATTTGGTAAAAAAAATTCTGCTAGAGATTATTGAATAAATCAAGTAACAGTTGTATTGTTA